TTGCATTTTTAGACCTCATGGGAGCTGGTTGTTATGGCATCAGTGGACCTGAAGGAGTGAGTGGAGATCAACGTGTGTGCTCAGCCCTCACGCTCAGCCAGCAACCTGCTCGTCCTTTACTACATTTCTTACTTTCCTTCTGCAGATTGGATCAGGGAGTGTGGAGGGCTTTCTGGAGGGGGGAACTTTAATCGGAGCCTTGGAGATGTCGAGGATTCCAGCGGCTGGGGATGTAGAATGGGTAAGGCTCCGGTCTGAGGCCTAGCACTGCAAAACGAAACAAAACAAAACAACACACACACACAACAAAACACACACACAACACAACAAAACAAAAGCACCAAGTCTCCCAGCAAAAATGAAGAGAAAGTTGGGAGAGGATGAGAAAGGAGCGTTTGAAGCATTTAACCAGATTAAGGGCTAATTTTTCATTCCCTATCAGTGGCTCCGTTATCTCTGCTTGGGTTTCACTGCAAAGCCCCCCTTCCCTTAGAACCCTCTAAGGAATGTGACCTTGCCCTAAGCACAGTGGGAAAAGGGTTCTGGGGACTTTGTGCTTAGCTCTGTAGACTACCTGAGGAAGCAGCCAGGCCCAGCAGGACAACAGCAGCTTTCATAAAGAGAAGTAATGGGTTGCACAGAGGAGGTCTCCATTGGGAAGCTGGTCCAACTAGACCAGCTTGTACCAATCCTCAGTTTCCCCATCTGTAAGGTGGTCATCCCCAATTTCGGTGCAATGCAGAATTAAAGTGTCTGCTCAGCCTGGTGACTTGCCCGTCCCAGACAACTTCCAGAGTGTCAGGTTTCTGCTCTTTTTTTCTTGGGGAATTGAGGCAAATGATCTGTTGATTTCCCAGTCGATGCTTGACTCCATGGCAGAGAAGCTGGAAAGGAAAGCGTTGGACAGTCGTGGGTTTGGGGGCAGAAGAACCCAGGTGGATCTCCACTTTGGGAGGATTACTTCCCAATATTCCAAGCACAGTGAGGCAGGGGGTGTTCTGTGCTCAGCTCGGTATCTGATTGGCTCCCTTTCCTTCTGTGTGGAGGTCAGCCTTGCTACCCAAAGTGGCTCTTCCAGTTTTCCTTCTTAAAGACCTGATAACCGGAAAGGGAGGGCTGGCCTCCAAGCCTGATGGGCTGATGTCGTCATCCTGAGCTGCTACACAGGGTATGAGATTGTATGTGTGTGTGTGTGGGGGGGGAGGGGATGGCATTTGTATGGAGGCCAGAGATGACCTTGAGTCAGTCACCTTTTGTTGGGGTGCACTGTGTATCAGGGGTCGGTTGAAGAAAGAAGCCACTCCAAGATGAAATTACGTGGCAGCAGGAAGGTCCAGCTTCTTCTGGTGGATTGAACCCCCGAACAGCTGTACAAAGGCATATTGATTGTTACACAAAGTATTTCCTCATACCAGGGTCCCTAATCCTAATTTACATGTCTTACTGAAGGAGAGCATCACATGCCCCCATGACTCCAGTCCTTTATTATGTATCGTGTGCAATACACAATAATGCAAGAGTCTCAGGTGTGCCTGAGGCATCTTGTGACCAAAGTCATGGGATGGCTGCAAAGCCCCTTCAGCAAAACAAAACAATCCCTGATTTCCATAAGGATTCTTTAACGTTAAAGATTTTCTAAAACAAACAAACAAACAAACAAAACAAAACAGACAAACAAAAAACAGCTGTTTATTCTAATATCTACCCCATACAATGATTCTTCTAAATTTCCACAACCTTCCATCTTCTTTGAGACAGGGTCTGTTGTTGCACATCACTGTATTCAGCCCAGACTAGCTGGCCTTTGGCCTAGGGCTTCCCTTGTTTCTACCCCACTTCTCATCATTAGTGTTCTGGGAATACAGAAACATACGACTGTCTCTGGCGCTATGTGGGTTCTAGGGACCTGAATTCCTGTCTTCACACGTGTATGGCAAAAGCTTTGTACACTGAGCTTTTGAGAAGTCCTGGAGATAATGTCGTTCACTGGGATGGAATAACAGGTGTGTAGTGCCTCAGGACAATTGAGAAACTCTTGTCTTTTTGTTTCATTTTAGTTTAGGGTTTTTTGTTTGTTTGTTTGTTTTTGTTTCTTTCTTTCTTTTTTTTTTGAGACAGGGTTTCTCTGTGTAGCCCTGGCTGTCCTGGAACTTGCTCTGTAGACCAGGCTGGCTTCAAACTCACAGAGATCTGCCTGCCTCTGCCTCCTGAGTGCTGGGATTGAAGGTGTGTGTGTGCCACCACTGCCGGCACTAAGGTCTTTCTTGAAGGAACTTTCTTATGCACATAAATTCATACAGAGAGACACAAAGACACATAAATAAATAAAAATTTAAAATAAAGAAACTCTTGCCTGTGAATCATAGTGACTCTGCTCTGGGTTGCTGCGCTCTGGGCACAGGTGCAGAATTACTTGGAAATGACTTTTCTGTCCACTAGAGGGAAACCCAGGCTAGAGAGATGGCGAAGTCAAGCAGGCTGATAAAGCCCGGGAGACCACAGCTGAGGAGCTGAGGGATGATGTCAGCCCAGTGCTTTGTGGGAGCTGGCTTGTATCAGCTTGATGAGAGCCACTTGTTGCATTTTTAGACCTCATGGGAGCTGGTTGTTAAACACAGTCACTAAAAATTAAGCTAAACAAACGTATACTTAAATCAACTGTATTAGAAATGACTGCAGCTGGGCATGGTAGTACATGCCTGTAATCTCAGCACTTGGGAGGTAAAGGCAAGAAAATCAGGAGTCCAAGGTCCTCCTTGGCATATAGTGAGTTCAAGACCAGCCTGGACCACATGAGACCCTGCCTCAAAATAAATAATATAACGATGCCCAACATAAATTTTCAATTTTTACTCTATTTTACTGGTACCATTTCTATTATGCAAGGAGTATTATATAGTAGTATGCTACTGTCTGTCTTTGAATCTGATAACTTGAAATTGGCCATGGAAGACTATTTACTGCATGGAAACTCACACATGCTACAAAGCAGGGTTTCCCATCCCTGACTCCCCTCCACCGCAGGTTGATCTAAATGCATGCTATAATATCTTTGCTTAGGTCTTTCTCACACCAGCTGCTGTCCTGAGGGGCTGGGCTTTTCCAGGTCTGGCCAGGGACGCACTCACAGATGTCCCTGTGGAGGGACTGGTCCATTTCATCAGGCCAGGCTGTTGGGGGCCTCTGGGAATGTGTCACCACTGCGCTATGGTCCAAGTGTGGCCTGAAGGGGCTAGCCTCGGGCTTGAGGTCTGTAGCAGCTGCTGCCTACGCCAGAGACCTGTTTGGGCTTCCTGCCTGCCTCCCTCGTGGCCATCTGTTGGGATGGAACATGTTTCCCCATCAGAAGGGGAGCTTCCTGAGGATCAGGGTTGGCTTCTACCTTCATCTACACCTCCAAACTGGCTTCAAAACACAGCAGTAATCCCAGGCAGGCAGATCTCTGAGTTCCAGGCCAGCCTACAGAGTGAGTTCCAGGAGAGCCAGGGCTACACACAGAGAGCCTGTCTTGAAAAGCCAAACAATAAAACCAACCAACCAAACAAACAAAAAACCCATACAGCATACATGAAGACAGTGAACTGGGAACTAAGCTTGTGCCACATGCTAGCAGTATGACCAGAGAAAGGCACTTTAACCAACAGATCTGGTCTTCTGTTGCTTGGCTTGGAAAATAAGGTGAACACTTCTTAAAAAAAATAAAAAATGTGTGTGTGTATCTGTGTCTGTGTGCGTGTGACTTGTGGGAGTCTCCTTCTGACATGCGGGATCCTGAGACTGAACTCAAGTGAACAGACTTGGAGACAGGCACCTGTTGAGTCATCTCCCCAACCCAGGTAAATACTTGTTTATCAACAGGTCTGGCTTCTATGGAGACACAATGAGTTCATCTAAGCAAAGCTCTCAGCCGGCTGTTTCCATACCCAAGAAGGTGTCCCGCGATGTAAAAGGTGCTGAATTGAAGGGACGCGCCCCTCTACCCTGACATTGTGTGTCAAGGAAGGAAGTAGGGAGGTGGTGGGGCAAAAAAACAAGGAGTTAACAAATCCAGTAGTGAGGGAGTATGTACGCGGACCACACCGCTGGCAAAGTGCACCCTGGACTGATCCCAGCTCTCTGAGCCAAGACACTGCCAAGTGCTCCACGCCTGATAAGGGGTACCTTTTCCCTATGGCTGTGCCCTCCACCTTTGCCCGGGCCTCTGGGTCTTTGGGATGCAGGCAGCCGGACGTGGCAGGCCCAGGGCTGAGCTGCAGGAAGCAGCGGCCGGCCGGGGCTGTCCTGAGCCTCAAAGCAACGGAAGGGAGGGAGCAGCCAGCACCTGCATTGTGCGAGCCCCGCTTCCCGCTGAGCCACCAAAAGAGGACCCCTAAGCACATTCTTGGCTCCCTGGTCAGGGCTGTGGTTCTCAAGCAGATATAGGCCGAACCAGAAGAGGATTTCTATGCTCTCACTCACTGAGGCACTCGTGTATTCTTTCACCCATCAGTGTTTGAGCAGAGGCACTAGTAAACGCAAAACAGCCTACGATTCTGCAGATCTTTGGCTCTTTGAAATTGGAGGTGGTCTCTGCAGAGTGTGGGTTGGAATCGTGGCTTCTCGACCAATAACGTGCAACTGACAAATGAACTCTGAGCTGTAGGAAGACGTTGCTCTGTATTGGATTAAAAGTGTGGAGGGAGCTCCACCGCTCCGGAGAGTGCTGGAATCAATGAATTCTGCGTGGAGCACATCAGCAGCTAGCAAATAAGCGACGGATTTTTAAAAACTAATTTTGATTTTTATTATGACAAAAGACCATTGGAGGGAGAGCACAAAGCTGCAAATTGGAAGTCTGCTCAATGGTTTAAAAAACTTTTCAAACTGATATGCAACATTTAAAAGTTGTGAATTTCAACTCAGAGTTTGGAGTCTTTTGAAAAAAATTGACAATGTGGGAGACTGTGTTTTATAAGCTGTTGGGTTATCCTTAGAGGAGGTTCTCTCTCTCTCTCTCTCTCTCTCTCTCTCTCTCTCTCTCTCTCTCTCTCTCTGTATTTTTGTGTGGCCTCTTGCAAAGTAGTGTTAATTGTTGTATAAGTTTAAAGAAGACCTCTTGGGCAATTCCCTGTTGCAAGGATCTGAAAGACAAATTTATTTTGAAACACAGATTTTTTTTTTTTTTTTTTTTAAATTTAGTTGGGATCCTTGATTGGTTGATGTTTTTCAAAAACGGCCTTCTGGAACAACCTTCTAATGAAAGAATTTTAAAATATGTCATAATGGGGCAGTGTGTGTACCCATGGGATTACCCAAACCAAGGAAAAGATCTGAGTCGGCACAACTGGACCTGAGGCCAGGACTCAGTAACTGGGAAGATGTAGCCACCTCACGTGGGCGGTGTGGAGAGGACAGGTGACAGACAGTTGCTTAAAATAGGATTGACAGAACATGGAGCTGCAAAGAGACAAGACTTGTGTTTCTGCCCTGGGAGAATGGGCGGGAGGCGGTCCCATTCACTGTTTTGAGGGTCTAGAGGAAGGTCTGTCTGCCTTTTAAACTGTTGGGTCAGAGAGTCTGGGTCAGTCACAAGGAGACTGAGGGACCACTAGACCTCTAGTGGCAGGGAGAGGGAGCTGGGTTTAAGATTCATTGTTGGAGAGACAAGACTTGGAGAGGGATACATACCATCAGCCCCAGCATTATGTACAGTCAGATAGGACCGGCTGAGGATCCATTTATAGTTAAGAAATTATGTTTAAGAGAATTGGAAGGATGTCAAAGGGAGAAGAGGCGCCTGAAAAACTCACCCCCCAATCTGTAGTAATGGACCACTCCCCAGTATCTCACCACAGAGGTGGGCTGAGGAGCGGGCCAAGGGGACTTGGATTAGATCCTGCTCTAGTCAGGTAAAGGATGAGGTGGGGCAAGGTTCCAGGCAAGTTCAAACCCTTTTGAGTACCGTTCAGTGCAGCTTCCTGCCCTCCAGGGCCACTTGATGGGCCCCCAGGACACTGCTGGGAAGAGGAGGAAGGACCCAACTGGCTGAAGAGTGAGCAAATAGGACTCCAGGACATTCTTCTCAGCCGGGAGTGATGGGGTGCCATGCCAGCTCCCCAGACTGTTCCTGCTTCACTTCCTGGAGCTTTCAGGACCATCGCTGAGGTCAGCCAGCTTCTTGCTTGGGAGCTGGAGATCAGATGCAACAATTGACTGTGTGTGGCTCACCCTCAGAAATGTTTTGTCTAGCCCGCATATATTTCCTCTGGAGGAAATAGAACTTTTCCCATTCTGTAGAAGAGGAAACTGAGGCTCAGAGAGCAGAAGGCACATTCCAAGGACACACAGCTGGTGAAAGGCAGAGCTGGATGGACAAACTCACCGCTCTAGTCTCTCCTGATGTGGCCCCATTCCCCAGTGGTCTTTCAGCCTTCCAGCCGGCTTGGTGTCTTGCTGGGCTCCACCTCTCCTTCACACCCCACCTCCAGACGATCACCACATCCTGTAGATCCTGCCCCTCTACAGACCCAGCATCCGCCCCTTTCCCCTTTACTTATGGGTCACTCTCCATCCGGGGCTCCTGGCCCGGCTGTGCCATTGGCTGCCTCTCTGGCCTCGCCACCTCCAGTCTCTTCATATCAGCAGCCAGAGGGCTCTTCTACAGCACGATTCTGACCACGTCACCACCTTTAACTTCTGTCAATGATATCCCCTTGCCCTCTGAATAAAGTCCACATTCCTAAGCAAGTCACCAGAGTCTACGAGTTGTTATTACCAGAGCTAATGCCACTGTCCTGTGCACTTCAGCCAGTCAGAAAGCTAGCCTACCTCTTCTGAACAGACCCTGTCCCGGGCTTTCTTGCTTTTGGGTCTTTGCTCCCACCACCTCTTCCACCTACCACAATTTCTCCCCACTTTGAGCTCTCTTCCCCAACTCTGCCAACTGACGTTTGGGCCACCCTTTAGGTATAGCTCCGTGCAGGGTCCTTTGCTAGACCACGGTGAACCCGTGGCCTCGGTAGACAGGGGAGCACCCATACCCCTCCCTCTGTGCTCAACACGACCCCTTACATGCCGGCCAGGTTCTGCTAACACGTGGTGGGACTGCCTTCCTCTCGGTCTCCATCTCCTCCCTCCCAGGTCTGGTTCAGCCCCTTGTCCTGGCCTGCATCTCTTCCAGCCACTGGTAGCAGCTTCAGTTCTGGTTCTTGGTTTAGTTCCAACTCTAATTCTAGCCCAGACCTGCTTCAAACTATGCTCAAACTGTAGTTCTTGGCCTGCTGCCAGCTTTGACTCAATATCCCAGTCTATTAAGAGCTTAACTCAGCCAAGTGTCTCCCCACTCTCCTGATCCCCAATTTTACTTCCCTTAGGAAAAGGCTCTTGCTTTAGTATTCCTAGTCAGAGAGAGTGGAAAGTGAGAAGCCTAAAACAGCCTGCCACAGCCTGCAATCATTACCCTAGCCTGGGACCAGCTAGCTGCAGCATCCTAGCCCTGAGGACACTGTGGGAACCAACAGCCCTAGTTCAATGCAAGAAACTACCATTGCCAGGCTTGGTGGTGCACGCCTTTAATCCCAGCACTAAAGAGACAGATGCAGGTGGGTCTCTGTGAGTTCGAGGCCAGCCTGGTCTACATAGTGAGTTCCAGGCCAGCCAGGCTACTTAGTGAGACCCTGACTTAAAAAAGAAGGAACCACCATTTACTGGCTGTGAGGTTTAAGCCCCTCCTTGGGCTCCATGTCTGAGAGAATACAGGAGCAAGAGGTGTATTTCTATGGCCTCATACAGGCCAGGCCCTGGGTTCTATCCTTGATACCTTAAGAGAATAAGATGAAAAGACATCTGATGCGAGAATGACAGGAAACAAAGCTGTGGACTATGAAGCCTATGAGGCCTTTTGCTCTTTCCTCTGGTCCCCGGGGTCAAATGCTATTGCACAAGGGCTTCTGCCCCCATGGCATTGGTGGGCCTGGCACAGGTTGGCTTCCAGGCTCTTGGCTGGCGCTGTTGTCTCCAGGGTATCTTGTGTAGTAGATACAGAGCCCAGGCAGCATGCTGGAGCTCTTGCCAGAACTCCATGTCCCTGACGTCAGGAACACACAATGGTTCATAGGGTAGTGGGGCAAAGGCCAGCATTCCTTCTTTCCTACGGGCCATGTAGATGTATTTGGGTTGGAGTAATGGAGGCGCTGTCATCCCTTCTCCAACTTCCTCTCTGAGTCTCTGTCTCCTTACAGCGCAAAAGGCAAGGATTCCTATGGATACAAGAACTTGGCACCAGGAATGGTGGCACATGCCTTGAATCCCAGCTCTCCCAGCATCTCTGTGAGTTCGAGGCCAGCATGGTCTACATAACCAGTTCTAGGACAGCCAGGGCTACATGTTACACAAAAAGACCCTGTCTCAGAAACAAAACAAAACAACAAAACAACCAAAAGAAAATGTCAGGGTAGACCATGTAGCACAGGTCAATTGAAGAAAGAAGGCACTCCAGCATGAAACTTTAAGGCCTACATGGCAACAGGAAGGTCCAACTTCTTCTGGTGGATTGAACCTCCGAACAGCTGAACAAAGGTATATTGATTGTTACACAAAGTATTTCCTCATACCAGGGTCCCTAATCCTAATTTACATGTCTTACTGAAGGAGAGCATCACATGCCCCCATGACTCCAGTCCTTTATTATGTATCGTGTGCAATACACAATAATGCAAGAGCCTCAGGTGTGCCTGAGGCATCTTGTGACCAAAGTCATGGGATGGCTGCAAAGCAATTACTATTTTCCACAAGGATTCTTTAAGGTCAAAGTATTTCTTAAAAAAAACAAAACAAAACAAAAAAAAACAAAAAAAAAACAGCTGTTCATTCTAATATCTACCCTATACAATGATTCTGCTTGATTCCTACAACAGAAAAATGCCAGGCGATGGTGGCACAAGCTTTTGATCCCAGCACTCAGCAGGCAGAAGTCTGAGGTCAACCTGGTCCACAGAGCAAGTTCCAGGACATCCAGGACTACACAAAGAAACCCTGTCTTGGGAAAACAAACAAGCAGAAAAAGAGCTTGGGGACCTTGCTTGGAAAACATAGGAACCAACAACATTGATGGAGACCTGGATATGATGTGTAGGTGAATAAGTACTATAGGTGCATGTGTGGTATGCATACATATAGCATTATATATATATGTATATATACATACATACACACACATATATAGTATGGACATATTAGAATATTGCATATTTAGTGTGTCTATATCTGCAATGTGTGTGCCAGGGAGTTGGGGTACATAGGGTCTATATGTGTATTGGGAGGGCTCTGCCTATATGTCACATGTGTATGGCAGATGAGACTTGTGTGTGAGAATAAGTATGTATATGGAGACAGATAAGGACCTGGGTGTCCACGTGCATTAAGTCTATATGTAAGTATGCTTGTTGTGGAAGGGGGTCAGGGGAACACTGAGTTGTGGAGCAGATGTTGGAATATTTGATATTTCCAGCTGAACTCTCTGAGGTGACCTGGGCCAAAGTCATTGTCCTCTTGTTATGAGAACAAAGGACAGTAGAGACAGAGCTTTGGGACCTGAGTTCATTTCTACAGAGCCAAAGTCACCATGCCCGGATGGCTGCCCTGCCCCCCACAACCCCATGTCTGTAGCCACATCAGAGAAATAAACACAACCTTTGGAAGGCTTGTGATATGTCTGGGAGGAGGCCCCAGCAGGCAGCTTGTGTGGCCTCAGCACCCCACAAATTGCCCTGCCATTGACCAGAAGCTGAGATGCCAGGGCCAATGGCCGCCCTGCCAATGACCAGTCCTGGGTTCTTCGTTCAGCGCTTGTGGCCAGCTTCGGGCTTTCCAGAGCTTCCTTGCCCAGGGCATTTGATCTAATTGCAAATGGGCATCTCTTGAAACTCAAGCCTGTGCCAGGGAAGTCAAGGGACACGTTCAGGGCCAAAATGTGCATGGGCTAGTTTCTGCAGGAATCTACTTTTAACTGGGGTGTCCCCTTCTACTCCCACCCCTAAGTGCCTCTTCCCTCTGCAGGGGCTGTTCCTCCCCTCTCAAGATGACTGAAATGTGTGTTCCTGGGGGCTGGGGAGATAGTTCAGTGGTTAGAGCGCTTGCTCAAACATGAGGGCCTCGCCCACAAAGCCCAGCAATCCATATAAAAAGCTGGAGTGGCCACATGTGCCCCTGTAACCCCAGCACTGTTGGGGACAGGGATCGCTGGGATTTCCTGAATGCCTGCCTCGCTCCAAGATAAGAGAAAGATTCTGTCTGAAGGGAATAAGACAGAGAGCACAAGAGTGGGACGTCTGGCATCATCCTAGTGAGTACAACGCCCACCTCCCAAGCACCTGTACTTTCAAAAGTGCCCTCTGTGGCTGGGCTTGTGGCTCGCTTGGTAGAGTGATTATCTAGAGTGCACAGAGCCCTGGGTTTGATCCGCACCAAAGCACAAACAGGGCATTGCGATACATTCCTGTAATCTCAACAGGGCATTGCGGCACATTCCTGTAATCTCAGCACTCAGGGGAGATAGAAGCAGGCAGATCAACAGTTCAAGATCATCCTCAGCTGCAGATCTAATTCAAGGCTAGCCTGGGATGCATGAGGCTGCCTCAAAGAAAACAAGATACCTAAATGCCCTGGGTAGCCCAAACACCCTTTTCTGCCTCGTTAACTTGGACTCATATCTCAATTTCAAGATACGTGTCAACTCTTAAACTGCAACTACTTCCTGTCCCTTAATATCCATTTACTGGGCTTGTCACTGAGGCTTCCTTTTTTGGCTACCCCCATGGTTGGCATGGAGTAAAAAAAAATCTTTATTTTCCAGAATTCCTTGAAGTTAGGTGTGGCTGTGTGACTAAGCGCTGGCCAGCAGCTTAGGCAGAAGTAATTGGTGCCACTTTGGGGAACTGGTGTTAAAGGGGGAATGTGTTGTTTTTCACTCCATCTTCCTTTAGGCTGGCTGGAATCTGACTGAGTATATTGATTGAGCCATGAAGTATCGTTCAGGATGGCAGGGGTTGGAAGAGAAGTATAATGAAAAGCGCGAGGACTTTTATGACCTTGGATCTATTGCACTAGCTCTGGACTAATTATTTCCAGACTCATAACTAGTTGAAGTGTGTGTGTGTGTGTGTGTGTGTGTGTGTGTGTGTGTGTGTGTGTG